TTGTCAACACTGACCATCACAATGGACCACCAGCAAAGTAAACACCCAGAAGCTAAAGGTGAAAACGTAGCTTCCACAATGGCCCAAAGGATAAAACTACACAATGGACTTTCACAAAATAAAATGAATAGAACTCTATCATACTTATCAATTCTCTCAATAAATGTCAATGGACTGAACTCACCACTGAAGAGGCATGGGCTGGCTGATTGGATAAAAAAAGCACAACTCATCCATATGCTGTCTCCAGGAGTCACATATAGCCTTGAAGTACAAGTTAAGACTCAGGGTTAAGGGATGGAAAACAGTATTTCAAGCAAATGGAAATCAGAAAAAGGAGGGGTTGCAATCTTATGTTTAGATACAAGTGGATTTAAAGCAAGTTAAGATAGACAAAGATGGACACTTTATGCCAATCAAAGGAACAATACAACAAGAAGACATTTCAATTTTAAATATTTATGCACCCAACTTAAATGCTCCCTGATTTATGCAACAGACCTTGATGGATCTGAGCAATATGATATCCCATTACATCATAATAGTCGGGGACTTTAAGAACCCTCTGACAGAACTGGACAGATCCTTTAAACAGAAACTAAACAAAGATGCCAAGGACTTAAATGTGACCCTAGAACAAATGGGATTAATAAACATATACAGAGCACACCATCCCAAAGCCAAAGAGTATACATTTTTCTTGTCAGCCCATGGTATGTACTCTAAAATTGACCACATCCTAGGATACAAATCAAACATCAGCAAAATCAAAAGAAATTATAGAATAGAAATTATAACTTGTATTTTCTTCAGACCACAAAGCAATAAAAGAGGAACTCAACTCCAACAAGAATGTTCATCCCCACACAAAGACTTAGAAATTAAACAACTTTATGTTGAATGATAGTTGGGTTCAAGAAGGCATAAAAGAGGAAATAGTTAAATTTCTCTAACAATAATAATGCAAACACAAGTTACCAAAACCTGTGGGATACAGAAAAAGCAGCCTTAAGAGGGAAATTCATAGCAATAGATTCCTATATTTGAAAAACAGAAAGACTTGGCTTGGCACTTGTAGTTCAGCAGCTAGGGTGCCAGGCACATACACCACAGCTGGCAGGTTTGAATCCAGCCCTGGCCTGCCAAACAACAATGACAACTAAAACCTAAAAATAGCCAGGCATTGTGGCAGGTGCCTGTAGTCTCAGCTACTTGGGAGGCTGAGGCAAGAGAATCACTTAAGCCCAAGAGTTTGAGGTTGCTGTGGCTATGATTACCACAGCACTCTACCCAGGGTGACAGCTTGAGACTCTGTCT